TATTCTATTAAAAAATCATATCTAAAATTGTAATGGTTATATTTGTTTGTAAGCAAGATTAAGTAGCAAAATTTAAAAAGTATAACAGAACATTGCCACGTTAAAAGCAATAATAAAAATGGAGTATAATAATTTTTCACATGAATCTGCGACAAATGCACATGCCCGTAAATTACATCCACGCATATACTGTTACACGTTTTTATCATATTAATTAATGACTCGATAGTGGTTGTTATACACATAGCGGATGTTATATACATATATACACATAGCAGATATATATATCTTATTAAGTTCATCAAAATTTGTATTTACATGAAGATTCACTGCTTCTAAGTAAAAAATTCAAGAACTGAATACAAGTATACCTCACATGTCAAATAATTGCATCACACCAATTGCAACAATTATCAAACGGAAATTTTGGAAAAATATATCGTTACAGTTGACAAATCTTCTGTATTTCAAGTACAAAATAACAAAGAACATCTCGCATAATTCTGCTTTAATTAGAGTATCGGTCAAGTTCACAAATGTTGACTCACTGCGAGTGGCGATGGCAACGAACAACACAGTCCAGTTCCAGGTTGAAAACTATACACTCGAGTTCGAAAATATCCGCTCTCCACCGTAGTCAGTCGATACTCCATTATCAGTACCACGGTTATCAGTCTCCACTGATTCTACTAAAAAAAAAAAACATATTAACGTAATTCGACAAGGATTGTAATGAATCACAGGTCGACGTTCTCTTGAAAATCTGTATCCTCCATATTTTTCGCGTAGCACAGCTAAATAAACTGTGAAGATTCTTTTCACGAGAAACGCTCAAACTCGAAAGAATTTGAACTGAAAGACTCAGGGAAGGTTTTCTGAACGGTGAAATCATTATGAAAAATTTAACGCAATTAAAGTGCTAAGTTTCGAGGATGGTTTGTCAGGATTTAATAGCTTTATTAATTTTTTGTTATTAATTTGAAATTTCAGTAATTTCTAAATTTACTTTATATCATTAAGAAAAACGTTACAAAAATACGAAATAATAATAACATTGTTGGTATGGCACTTGAATAAATTTATAACAAATCGAAATTGTTCTTTCGATTGGTTTTCAACTTAACCGTCACCCTAAAAATGTAGTTTCGAAAAAGTGATTTATATTTCTGGAATGATACGTATAAATAAAAATATTTTTGTGTTAAGGGTTCGAAGAGATGTTCCAGAATAACTTGTTTTACGATTTTTTCTATTTCAGAAGTTTTTTGGCATTCCCTAATATCTAAATTCTCAGCTGTGGTGTTTATCTTTTGATAGCTATTTCTCCTTATGGGAACCAGCAAGTTATCAGAGTTTCGAGTATTTGATTCTCGATTATCCGAATTTGAGTATCCAAGTACTACTCGTACCGATAGATCTGGATCTCCGGGGACTTAACGTCAGTTCTCGCCTAATCACTCTTCGCACCGATCCGATTCCGCTCGTTGCGGATATCCATCAGTGTGTCCCAATCGTTCAACTGTCACTCCCATATACTCCGTTCAGCTATTCTCATCTTGATACCGAAGTTGTATTAGGCAATCCGGATATGCATACGGACTCCAACATATTTCAATATCACCAAAGTCCCTGGCATCGAAGACAAAAGTGGTGCGCTTGGCACGGAATAACCTACACGCGCGTTTCGTGTATAGCGATGGAAATCCGAGGGCGTATATACACGTCCTTTGCAGTTAACCATTTGCGTTCCTATCTCGAACTAGACTTGACATTGACTTTCACTTAATAATTTCTTTATTTTACAGATTCTTTTCATATTCAGGGAAAATGCTTCGATTATAGAGTTCCTATCACTTTACCGACAATGATTATTTCATCGTCAGTCATTTCACCGACACGAAGTTTCGTCAACAGTCATTTGATCGTCGCTTGATGAAGAATTTATAGTACTTGTCATCTAAGAATATTCGATAAGGCGATAATGTTATTCGACTAGCATCAAAAAGGATTCTTTCATAAATGCAAATTGAATACGAACTTTCTTTGTCACGGTATGTTTTCCATTTGTGTTCCCTGTGTTGCAATGCAAAGTTCACATCTACGGATCATTGATCGATGTACATCTACAAGTATTCCCCCGAATCTTGCAATTGTTAGACACGCATTTTCTGTCCGTACTCGTAATTCTTCTACGTTAATTGTGGCTGATGAATGAACCATTGCTTTGAAGTGTCTGCATAAAAAAAATCTAATTGGCTCGAATCAGGAGGGAAAACTTACTACGACATAATAGGTTTGTATTAAATTTGCATTTATGAAAGAACCTTTGTTGATGCTACTGTGTAATTCTACAACAATTTCTCTACTTACATTCAATGCATCGCAGAGAAACTCACTCACGTGATTAAACATTCCTAGATACTAAAAGTCAATTTCTATCGAAAGGATTGACTTTTGGACATTTTTGACTCCTCTAGATGAATACTATAAATCCTTAAAGTATCAAACCATTTTTTCTAGCACCCCGTATAATGTTATAGTAAAAAAATTTTGAAATAAAAGGAAGAAAATACTTTGGAGCTCAAACGGTTCGAGAACAAAAGGAAAAAATCTGCGACGCATGTCACCCATGGAAATGACAACTGAACCGTGTTTGTTGTCATTCCGGGGTAAATCTTTCGATGGCAAGGAAGAAAGAAAACGGCTGTGAAAGAGAGATAACAGATTACTGATATCTCTGGTCACTGGTTCGACCGCGATCGTCATTGCCGCGCATTTCATAGCCAAAGTGGACGCGGCCGATTTAAGTCGAGCTTCATCCGTCGATGGTTTTTGTTTTTCGAAGAAACGCGACTAACTGAAATTAGTCCTATAGTAATGTATCACTATACGTTTAATTTCACCATAGACTCGCCGCTAGTCAAGTTCTGCCGCGTGTCCGTGTGACAGTGAACGCGACGTTGAATCAATTTTTCTTCCAAGTGTCGCACACATTCTTACTAGGATAATAATATGCTAATGTCAATGACAAAGGCTGATGGTAACACTTGCGTCAAAGCCGATAATGTGCGTTCCCGTGATTTTCGTTTGATCGAAAGACGGTTCGCAACGGCCGTTCAGACTCTCGTCAATTTGGACCGAGAGTTGGATTAATCGAGGATGCAATAAAGGGATGCTTAAGCTCATTTCCATCGAGATAACAATGGCGATGTTTATGTTAGTAATATGCCAAGAATTTCTTAACTTCACCGAGTTCACGTACAGTGTTGTGCAAAAGCTTTAATCCATCTAGTTTGTACTATAACTCTGCACTTTTGTAAAGTGAAGATAGTAAGCTTCAAATTTAGTATACATTTATTAATACTAAGTTTCCTTTTGTTTTGATGATTTTCATTGTACGACTTCTGTACGATTTTTTAATTTCATTTGGAACGATTATCTGTACTTTTTATTCATGTTTCCTTTGAAAAATGTATGTTTTTTATATTGTCGAATAGTCATCGCGAACAAGTTTTCCACTTGTGTACTACTTTTGACATAGTAAATTGGTATAATATTAAATGCATAGCATAAATGTATTTTGCACACTGCTGTACGTGAATAGAAACAAAAATAACGAAGATCAAGATCTATAGATCGTTACTAATAGTAACGTAGCTGTAATAGAAAATCTTAATTATTTGTATGTAAACAGTTTAATGTTTTTCATTTATATTTAATTCCTTCAATGTAGTGTAAAGAGAGCTTTAGATATTAAACGATATTCGACACCTTAAAAACTGATAACCTTATAATTAGTAAGATCTTTAAATATTGGCAAAATATATATGAAATTCTAATTAATATGAGAGTCTCGAGTTAAATAATCGTGAAAGAGATTCCGTTATCATCGTCGTCGTTGACATTATTACCATTATCAAAGTTACTCTAATTTCTCTTCTTAGATCTACTTCAATTAGAGTCTGCAACTGGAAGTCTTCAGACATTCTATGTAGTAAGTTTGAACTCAGTACCTTTAAATAAATATGGTAGTTCCCATTACGTTGTCAAAAATTTTAGTCGTAACATTTCTGATAACTGGAATGTTAAATGTTTGAAGTTTCTCAAATGTTCAAGTTAATTGGATAATATTTTATAGCGTTAATGTGACGACAGTACACTACAAATCACGCCTCTATTAATAAAATACTAACATTTCAACTGTCTAACGATATTGAAATCTATTTAAACATATTCTCGTTCAAAATTTCTATGTACAGTATATAAAAAAATGTATAAACATGCGATACTATTGTCCGACAAGTCGTTACACTCTCGTTAAATTTTTTTCATTTAAACTTTTCTGTATTAACCCTTTGCAGTCGAAGCTATTTCGACAGAAAATATAAAATCATTTTTCCGACTTACAGTATTTCTATTTTATATGAGAAAATGCATTTTATGCATATATGAAAATTGACTCTTGGAACTCGCGCAACAGTTACTTAACAATTTTTCAAATGTAAACTTTGTTAATGTCAAAATTATCCTAAAAGGTGATATAACAAATATTAGTGGTGCCTCAGAGTCGCCATTCGACTGCAAAGGGTTAAAGAAAATATAATTGTTGCAACGTTCGCCAAACAGTGTTAAACAAATATAAATGCTCGCTTCATTCAGAATTGTTAAAATATTAAAACGATCTGCGTCGATACCAGAAGAGTTTGCGTTCTGTCATATCAAAGAAGGAAAGCGTTAACCTACTTCGGAAAATTTCTTCGCTATCGCTGTTTTTTAATTTATGATTCTTATCATATTATATATCGCACAATCTACTGTACACATTGCTTCCATTCACATCACAGCCCAATACAAAACGTATAGGACGACATACAAGACGTAGTCGTATAAGTATAATAAGTAGTAATAAGTAGCCGTATTCAACTTGAAGTGAATAAAATATACACAACAAGCTTCTACATATAATTATCGTATCCCTGTTAACGTCTTTAGTAGTAACGTTAAAACTTCGTTCAGATATCTATATATAAGAAATCGAATGATAGTAGAAGCTTCACAGAGTGCACGCCCTCAATACAGCACATCATTGTGCATACCAACAACCAGTTATGCAATTATTTATAGTATTTTTCCTACATCAGTATTGTCAATCATGAATTAAGCGTGCATTAAAATATTTTCGTAACATCAAACATAATTTTTAAGTAACAAAACTGTTTGTTATAAATTGCAGAAATTTAATTAAGATTGGAATTAATTAGAAACAAAGTAAATTAAATGCATTAATTATGGGTAGCCAACTGTAATTGAACAATAAATAGTACTTTTTGTAAAGAATGAAATATTTCTAGTATCCAATCATGCGAATGTTCTTATCTTGTAATAGAAAAAGGTTTGTTTTTGTTGTTTCTAAATTTCAGTGATCCTAATTAGTAACANAGTACCTTTAAATAAATATGGTAGTTCCCATTACGTTGTCAAAAATTTTAGTCGTAACATTTCTGATAACTGGAATGTTAAATGTTTGAAGTTTCTCAAATGTTCAAGTTAATTGGATAATATTTTATAGCGTTAATGTGACGACAGTACACTACAAATCACGCCTCTATTAATAAAATACTAACATTTCAACTGTCTAACGATATTGAAATCTATTTAAACATATTCTCGTTCAAAATTTCTATGTACAGTATATAAAAAAATGTATAAACATGCGATACTATTGTCCGACAAGTCGTTACACTCTCGTTAAATTTTTTTCATTTAAACTTTTCTGTATTAACCCTTTGCAGTCGAAGCTATTTCGACAGAAAATATAAAATCATTTTTCCGACTTACAGTATTTCTATTTTATATGAGAAAATGCATTTTATGCATATATGAAAATTGACTCTTGGAACTCGCGCAACAGTTACTTAACAATTTTTCAAATGTAAACTTTGTTAATGTCAAAATTATCCTAAAAGGTGATATAACAAATATTAGTGGTGCCTCAGAGTCGCCATTCGACTGCAAAGGGTTAAAGAAAATATAATTGTTGCAACGTTCGCCAAACAGTGTTAAACAAATATAAATGCTCGCTTCATTCAGAATTGTTAAAATATTAAAACGATCTGCGTCGATACCAGAAGAGTTTGCGTTCTGTCATATCAAAGAAGGAAAGCGTTAACCTACTTCGGAAAATTTCTTCGCTATCGCTGTTTTTTAATTTATGATTCTTATCATATTATATATCGCACAATCTACTGTACACATTGCTTCCATTCACATCACAGCCCAATACAAAACGTATAGGACGACATACAAGACGTAGTCGTATAAGTATAATAAGTAGTAATAAGTAGCCGTATTCAACTTGAAGTGAATAAAATATACACAACAAGCTTCTACATATAATTATCGTATCCCTGTTAACGTCTTTAGTAGTAACGTTAAAACTTCGTTCAGATATCTATATATAAGAAATCGAATGATAGTAGAAGCTTCACAGAGTGCACGCCCTCAATACAGCACATCATTGTGCATACCAACAACCAGTTATGCAATTATTTATAGTATTTTTCCTACATCAGTATTGTCAATCATGAATTAAGCGTGCATTAAAATATTTTCGTAACATCAAACATAATTTTTAAGTAACAAAACTGTTTGTTATAAATTGCAGAAATTTAATTAAGATTGGAATTAATTAGAAACAAAGTAAATTAAATGCATTAATTATGGGTAGCCAACTGTAATTGAACAATAAATAGTACTTTTTGTAAAGAATGAAATATTTCTAGTATCCAATCATGCGAATGTTCTTATCTTGTAATAGAAAAAGGTTTGTTTTTGTTGTTTCTAAATTTCAGTGATCCTAATTAGTAACATAGATGTAATGTCAATTGTATAATTTAAAATAGTGATTTATGTAAAATCGTGTGTCGAAAAATTTGTCAAATTTTGAAAAAGTTAAATGTTCAAGTCAATTAATTTATATATCGATAACATGTTTCTGCTTAATTTGAAAAACATCGGGCTAAGAAAATACCGCTGGAAGTGTTACATGGAAATTAACACAAACGTCAGGAATACGTGTTACTGAAGGGTTAAATTACCTGTGACGGACAGTGGTTGCGGTTTGAATATTTATTTTTAATCTACTCTGGTGACAATCAGCAATTTGAAACCCGTTTCCACACATATTTTAATGAGTATTCTAGATTTATTGCCCATTTAGAAACAGTGTAACAGAGAACCAAAGTAATAATCCTCCTTAAAGAACATCATATTTTACAACAGACTATACACAATCTAATGTTTTGTGATCGACAATTTTAACAACGAAATTGAAAATGCTGCTGACTGTGGAAATACATAAATACATTCGTAATTCTGCTATTGATTATATATTAATTGTTAGTACTATTTAACTTCGGTTGTATATAAATATTAAAAAAATAAAGTTGAACGTTTGTTAACGAATAAATTGTTTAATAATTTATTGAGCAGTTCGTATTTCTCGTAAAGCAGATCTATCAAACATTTGAGTCATATGTATTGTCTTTTATCACATTCAAACATGATAAACGGATTCGGAACGCGTAAACGGTATTGCTAAAAGCGTCGCAAAATGAAGTTTTATTGTTGACGTAACACAGTAGATTATTGCTGAACTGAAATTTATAATTCAACTGAAGGGTGTTGGAGCATAATTTTTAAACGCGAATTGCGAGCGAGTAAGAGGGGATGGAAGTTTGTATTAATTATGTTAATTTTCTATTGTAAGATCCTAATGTGGTTCAGGAATTAAGCTATTATTTATTAACAATTACTAGTTGTAACAAAAATTAATTTCTTTGAATAATCGAGCTCTGGAATTTGCAAAGTACAGTGACTTGAGCTAATTATAGTTCACGGTTCGAAATGTATGGAACGGATAGAAAATAAATTGTGAAGACTAATGTAATTTGTCAACATGTGAAATCAAAAACTTGGATATTTTAATTTACATAAAAAATAAAATATGGCAAAGAGAAAAGTATTCTTGTTTCAGGTTGCTTTACATTGTAAATAAATTACAATAGGAAAAGAAACAAGCTCAAATCTGGAATTAAATGTAAATAAATCGATAATATAGAAAACTGTTTTATCAGTTGCAAGAAACTACGATGTGTGTGTAGGTATGCAGTTTCACTAATCCTAGAAACTACTTACTCAGCCTCCGATGTGTGTACGCCTTAAACACTGCAACCAAATCTTTGAGCTGACTACTGTAGAGGATATTTCAGGGGTCATACAAAAAATAGCAGTGGATAGATGCGATAGAAATTGGAAAGAATGTAATGTTTTATTAAGTGAGATAATTAAGCGAAAATGCGACGCCGGCGACCATGATGGGGAAAACCTAACGAGCATTGTTTTCTTATGGTTTCCCTATGCTGCTGCTAGCTAACGTTATTTAGTTCTTCATTTAATAGACCAATAACTAATAGTTATACTTCTTAACTAATAACTAATGACTAACATAGTCAGGTTTTTACGAATGACTAATGATTAATGTGGCTAATATAATCATGTCTCACGAATGACTATCGACTAGTACTCTGTAATCATTAGTCATTGGTACAGTAATGACTGTAATCATAATCATTAGGCATTTTACCCAAATCTGCTGCAGAAAATCTTTGTTAGTGGCCTCGTCCATGCTGGTGGCTCCACCAAACACATGCATACTCACACATATACACATATAACACACTCCTCTTCTCCTTTTATTTTCTAACTGCAGATGGTACCGTAACCATATTTCATTCTTCTTAAGGACCAGTACTTAGTGCGATGGCATTGTGTACATAGATAAGAGAGTCTCCGAATTCGTTTGATTCTTGTTTCGTTCAGTCAAAAACCACCCAGGAGTCTGTCGTACAGTGTGCAGAATTAGATAATTAAAGGTGTTATTTTCCTGTTCTATTACCGAAACGCGAAAAGTTCGATTTTCATCGGTAAGCTTTTGTAATAACAATTTCTGCGAACCAAGAATCCTCCACAGTGATCGATATATTTTAATCTGAAATTTTTCGAAGTAGAAAGATGAAAAATTTATGAATTCAGTTGTATTTATATAGTATTTATTTAACTGTTAATTGGACGATTCGTGCGATTTAAATCAATTTTATAAAAGTATCGACGTTATAAAAGCAGTTATAAAAGCGTCTACATTGTGCTTGATTTGTGTTGACGTTATCTGCCACGAGTTCGAATGAGAAGTGACACTGTTTGTAACACTGAACAACAAATTTCAAACTCTTTTAGAACGTCTAAATTGCAAACAACTTGTTTTATAAACAGTTACATATATTGTTATAATTTTTCTTATTTCTTACATGTAATTTCTAAATGATGAATATCAAAAATTCTACAAACATTTGAGGATGTCTGGCATTTGAGCAGTGTTCTATGAATTCTTTTTAACCACATGATGTGTTGTATAATATTATATATTATTCGTGTGTAAATATATTTAAAAAATGATTGAAGAAAAATGATTAAATGATTAAAATCACACGTTGTTCTGTGCATTTTGTGAAATTTGGCAATTTTCAATATAACAAACCATTCTCACATTTAAAGGATTACAGTGGTGAGGGTGCGCCATACTTAAAATCGAGAAACATTATCTTAAAATAGAGGTTTCAGGTTCTAATTTTAAAAAAAAAGTCATTATTTAATTTATCGGTAGTCAAAGTTGACCAATTTTTATCCAAAATTTGTCTGTGCTCTAATTTTTTCGAGCAGTGTATGTTAGGATGCGCGTACACAATAGCAGAGCTATTTCGAAACATTTATTTTTCAAATATTAATTAGGATACGTAGCCGGCAATGTTTTTTTCATAGTCAGTTGAAGTACTATTGCAAAGATGTCGTGTAACTTGAAATTAGGGTTCTTATTATTTTGGTGCATAAAATCACGAGGGATATGATACCAAGTGACGCTGTGATTACAGAGTGAAGAATGTGTGCCTTTACATGGAAAAAGAATAAAGCAAAAGAGAATTAAATGTTATAATCGTAAAGAAACGAAGAAATAATGAGAGGAGACTTAGTATTTCTGTATCAAATAGTTCCCGTGCAATGTGTGTAGACTCTACAAAAATAATATGGTAACTAAGACCAACGGGACATCTGCGATGACAACAATGAAGGAGACGTTCGTTGAGGACCAAAAGAAGTCACGAAATAGTAGATTGCTCTATGAAGATGAAGAGAACGAAGAGGAACTCACGCTGGAAGACTTGGCTCCTGATGGTGGTTGGGGCTGGATGGTGATGTTCGCCATGATATTAATATTCGTAAGTACTATAAGTTAAATAAACAGTTAACCACATAACCAAAAATAATACAAAAATCTTGACGAAGTCTACATTCATAACTAGACACTGAATTTCATTTATGACACAAATTAGTAGACGAAGCAGGAAAGAGTGACATTATTCAAGAAACAAATACACGTTATGCAGTTCTCGTTTCCTGTAATTAATGCTCAAAATTATTTTGCATAAAGGTTCACGATCTATTTATAATAAATAATACGGATTTCATACATCTATGCTAAAATCGACTAGGTGAAGTACATAACATTAGAAGAACTTATTAATTTTCTTACATTCTCCTTAATTTATTGAAGTAATTCAAGAGAAAGAAATACATTTTTATTTTTAAAGTTATTGAAACTACTGTGTGTCTTTTCCAACTTCTATTTGTTATAATTTATTAAGAAAATGTTTATTTTGTTAAACATTCGCAGTCTACTCATAAGTTATGATAAAAATGGATGTGTGTGAGTGAAATGTACAATAATCAAAATTTTTGAAGAATTTAAAGATGCTGTTATATTTTTTGCAACCTCTGTTAAAATTAATGAAAGGAAATATAAATCTCTGTACAATACCAATTTCTTGCAATTGATGTAGACAATTTTCACTTTGCATAAAAATTCGTAGTCTAGTTATGTGAAACATGAGATATCTAGTTTTTAATCTTCAAGAGATCGGGAGACTTTTGATTGTCCTCCTTAAAAGCAGTTAGAAGAAGTAAAAACTTCAGCATACACACATTTCTCACGTTATTATATAACTTGCAAATAAAACAGTCTTGAAGATAGCACGCGACCAGCTGAAGGTTAAACTTGATCTCGATCGTAAATTAAATTTCTATTTTCAAGTTCTCGAGATAAATTTTCGAAACAGATTTTGAATAATTTCATTAGGTAAAAAAGTTACATTATGAGACTTATCGATACAGGCGATCTTTAATTAAGTCGCGGATTTTTGTGCAAAGTAGAACTTGTCTGCAGTTCGGTATAGAAACATTTATTTTCTTTCTTAATTATTTTCCTGAGTAATCAACAACATCCCTAAATTCTTGAAACGTTTTTATTACTTTGCAATCGATGCATTCACATTTCTTATAAACGCATAGAATTCTCAGTTTACTAATAAAGACATCATGCTAAGATATTTGATTTGTCATGTCCCAGGTTACAATATTTGGACCATCTTCGTCGTTTGCAATTATATATGCTGACCTCCTTGAGGCGACAGGTCAGCCTGGCACTGCCTTGACCGTGTTTAATTCAGTTTTTATGATCACGTTCTCTATTGCTGGTAAATCAACATTTTCCTTATCTTCGATTATAGAAACTACGAATTTTTACTTAAACCTACATTAATTTTATTGTACCTTAATATTTTGGTGATGTTTTCCATATGTATTATTATTGCTTCTAAGAAAATGGGAGTGTTTGATGCTTAAAATCATTTCCTTATTGTTATAAATTTTGTTGTAAATATTATAAGAATTTAAGTTTCATTAGGTACTACTGATGTTTTACTTATGGAATAATCACGTTTATAGCTGTGATAATTACATATTGAAAATTGAGCTTGCAGGAGCTTACTCCGAAGAGCTTACTCTTAATCTTGACAAGAATTTCGAGATTACAGTAATTTCATATTTTGTCAGATTATCTTTATGTTCTCTATAAGAAATTCAAGAATATTTATTTGTTCGTGAAAAGTATTTAAAAAATGAAGACACACGTACAATATGTACAATACAGAAAAATAAAAATATTTATAAATATACTAATAGTGATAATAAAAATACCACTGTTTCCAATAATAAAGCAACGATAGTAAATATGATAAAATTAAGTGCAATAAATTGTACACAAATTAAGGAGCTAATTACGTGATAACCGTGATATTGATTAAAAGTTGCATAACAACGTCTCCCTGTTTTAGAACTTGTCATATCTCTTCCACGTGAGTATACGCAGCGACGCTCATAATTATGCGAATGATAGAGCACATTGATAATTCTTCATATCAAAGTAATTAACTAAATCCTTATAAATAACTACGACTTCTTAAATTTAGCAAATCTTCTGTGAGACGACTTAAGTCGGAATCTAATTATTGACGTTTTTCTACAATAAACCACAATTTCTTAAAGAAATGATAAATAGAACACTAACGAAAACATTGATAAAATTAGTTCGACAAATTAGTTCGCGGCGTGTAAATTAAAATAATTACATAATAATTTAATTAACTGATATAATATCGTAGTTTATCACTTAAGTTTATACTAAATAAAATGTTTCCACTTTCTTAGCATAACATTCTGTTTTTTAAAAATGTTAGATTCCTCGACAACTATTGATATTAGTAATTTGTTTATCAAACTATTACATACCTCTTTTTTACACAACAGACATAAATACACATGAAATGCTTCGTGTTTGTCCTAGATGGGTATTATCGCAACGATAACGCGTCATTAAATAATTTGGTCTTACGAACAATTTAGTTGTAGACAAACTAACACGCGCCGCATTCAAGACATGATGACACGTGACTAATGATACTAAGCTCTTGTAATTACTTAATTTAACGATACGGCGATATATTCATGTCAATTTGATTAGCAAAAGGGTGTATTTGATTTGAAAAGATCTATACATAACCTGCAAAAGGATGTATTTAATTTGAGATAAGTTGAATATGACCTATAAAAGGATGAATTTAGAATTGTCGGCGTATCGTAGCCATATTCATACATTTACAAGTCAACAAACGCTAACTTATCAAGATGTTGTGTCGCCACTGAATATTCCCCCCTGCCGGAAATTTAATGTCTTCTGTCATCAAGTCGCACTCAAATATGACACACAGTCTGACACAGTCATATACATATATATTTTCAGCTGTCAGATGCTGAGAAGATTGCCGATAAGAGACAACACTAATTCAGAAATAGTTATTAATGTAAATGTCACGCAGTTCTCTGAGCGTCAGATAAAAGCGACATGCGTTTTTTGTCTCGGTTGGAACAGTACGTTTACAAAAATTTGATTCGGGGATCATAACATGACATAGCAAAAAATTATCTGGCATAATTGCTTGCCGCACGTGACGATTTCATGATGTCATTGTTTGTATTAAATACAGCAAAGCGGCGAAGACAGTTACTTGGAATTCCATGCACGTGTGAATACTAATTCATTCACAGAAAAAGTGTATTGTCAATTTTCTTGTTATGTCGAGAAAGAGTACTGGGAAAAGATTCTATGACCAAACATATTTTTTGAATGTGACACACTAGATAATTATTATATTTTTCAAATAAAATAGTGACGGTTGTATTAATATATTTATTGTACATAACATATTGTAATATATTATTATATCTATTAATATGTTTTTATGATATATTAATATATTATTCTCCTATAAAAGTTTATATTTTTATATAAAGTCATGCAAATTAATATTTAAATTTTATTATAAATTAATTATTAATTTTAAAATTTATTAAAATTTTCATACATAATCCTAAATTTTGTTATAAACTTATTTAACTAAACACATTCTTATAATTCTATTTATAAATTTATTATAAATACATAATCAAATTTAATTCTCCAGCAAATTTATTTATACATAATTATTTTTACATAATTTAATACAAAATATTGAATTCTTTTTTAGAAATACATAAATCTAAAATTTATTCAATCAAATCAATTAAATGTCCATCTTCTGTTGTTAAACCTGCAAGTGTCTGCAGATGAACTGTATATAAATAAATACATAATTAGAATAAAAGACTAAGAGATACCGTTTTATGACAGGCTTAATTACAAACACGTTGCTGAAGAGGTACGCGATGAGGCCAGTAGGTTTGTTTGGCGCTGTGATTTTCTCAGTGTCGAACACCGCTATGGCTTTTGTCACCAACTTCTACGAAATGGCTTTTCTCAATTTATTTCAAGGACTAGGCCTCGGACTGATCATCACGATCTGTAACACGAATTTCAATGCTTACTTCGTGAAGAAACGAGCCCCAGTATGTAAATGCAAGGCCGATGACCGGCGCCCTCTGAGATAATTTTTAATTTTTCAGAGAAATTCTTGTTTTTCAGGTAATGAGCGCGGCTCAAGTTATCATTGCTTTAGGTGGTATTGTATATCCCATACTCATAGAGAAGTTAATGACGGCTTACGGATTTCGTGGTGAGTTCGATGAACACTCTTTTTCAGCAAAATTACACATAGGAGCAAAGTTGTGCTAATTCAATTACATGGTAATTCAATTTTGCAATTTAATTACATGGTAATTCGATTATATAACCACGTTGTAATTCAATTGCATAATTCAAATCTTTCATTTCCATTTAATTCAATTCCTAATTATTTGAATCACGAATGTAAATCAAATACAATGTAATTGAAATACAGTTTTTCAAACTAGAGTCCAGAATTTTCAAGAAGTAAGATACATTTTTGTGTTTTTCTTTCGTATACTCATCTTTTATCTCTTCTAACACAATTATATCGTAATTTGTAATTTTAATTGAATTGAATCTGAATTCGTAATTTCGATTCAATTACATCGTTACTCGTAATTAATGTAATTCAGTTATTTGGTCTCTCGTAATTAATTAATACTCTAATTAATCGAGTGAGGATCTGAGTTACGAATTACAATTGACAATGTTACGTTCACGTTTCACCAGGCACTGCACTAATAACGGGCGCCATGAGCTCGAACTGCATCGTGGGCATGACTATGATGCATCCAATTGAATGGCACGCAAGGAACCCGAAAGATGTCCGAGCAGAAAGGGCGCGTGAAAGGGAGGAACGAAAATTATGTGGAGTAGTATCGGTGAATCGTCGTTCCGTGGACATCTGCCACTTTTCCATTTCCGCGAAAACAAGATGCAGTAGCTTGACGAGTCTGAAGGGAGACGGCGGGAAACAAATTCCGCTTTTGATTGAAACGTTGAAGGTACATTTTGGAATCGACACTTGTGTTCGTGTAAACAATTTTTTAACATTTATTTACTACTATTTTTTTTTATTTTTACAAATATTAAACATAAGTATAATTAAAGACGGATTTAGACTATGCATTTTGGATGTGCAACCCGGTTGTACATCTGTTAATGTTAATGAATTCATGATGAATCTGAAAGATGAAAGTTGCAGTGCTTACATCATTCACTGGTTGAATATGATTTCATTGTCAATGAAATAAAATAAAATTTGAAAGATTAAATATAAAACAAAAACAATCATTTATTATTTATATAGATTTAAATAAATTATTTAATATAATAAAATTTATTTCTTACTTATAAATACAATTTCAATTGCTACTTGTTAATTATCATTTGATTGCTTATTATTAATTACTTGTTCGGCACTCGTAATTTGTTATTTATTATTTAAAATAAAATTTGCCCAATTCTACATACATTGTATCGGAAGTATCATAAGAACTCGTTAAAATTGATACCGGACAATCGAGGTTCTTTGTAAGCTGATTCACGATCGTTTCAAAACGTTTACTCTCTCTAATTGTTAACGCAGGAGCCAGCAAAAAGAGTAGCCTCAATTTCAGAACTCGAGAGCAAGATTCAGAATCGAATGAAGTCGGGTTCGATGCGAGAACTTTTGACGAGACGCATGTCGGCGCTTTCGTCTACCAGTGTGACGAATTTAGTGACGAGTATCGGGGCGTTCGGTGACAGGAATCATTTTGAGAAAAATAAGGAGAAGAGAAATGAAAAAGGCGTTCAAGTGTCCATGAATGACGAGAGTAACGAGAAAGGTCCTTTAAAGTACGTTGTGTGTAGACTGTCGTTCGAAAGTTTAGAGCAGTTTTCCTTTCTTTAAAAAGATACTCTTCCCAAAGAATATTTACAACTATTATACATAGTAGACTCTAATGAATTTTGTCTAAAATTTATGATACGAATGAATTAACATAGAATTACTTCATTGTATAATATATAAAGAACGAAGGATGCTCTTAAACTTTTGGGCAGAAATTATTCTGACCAGTTCAAACATCGATCCATTCAATTTTCGTAACACTTGCATGCAAGAAAAATGGAACGCTTAATAATAAGATGGTAGATACTACTAAAATATGTTATAGCTAGACTGTGGATTTTATGCGTTTACGGTAAAAATGGGATCGAGAAATACGGAACAAGGAAAACATGAGAAAAATTTAATATTGTGATGTTTTACCAATTTATTAAATCTGTTTTTGAAAGAAATACATTCATGCTTATCTGTCTCCTGATTCTTGGAATTGATAAAGAACATTTTTATTTTGCATAAAGATTCGTAGTTTAGTTATAGTTCATAAAAATATGAATGAAACGACACAAATATGATTTTCATAAAACAGCAGAAACAAACTTTTGTGCATTTAACTCCATTTTGTACTACGTTTGTGTATTAGATATGCAAACATGGTCTTCATTTTATTGAGAACAATCAAACAGTATTTTAGTCTTGAAAATAATCTAAAATTTACTTAAAACTAACTTAAAATTTACTTAAATATAGCGTACAATTTTCGTAAAGCTAATGTAAAATTCGAAGTACAAAATATGATAGTATTTGCATTTTTTTTTTGCAACAACGAAAGGTAAGAGATTTATTTTTTGTAGAATATATTTTATTATTTGAAGTATATCGCAGTACAATACTGCATGTCATCGCTTTGGAGTTAGAATAGCTTCGAGTGCTAAAGATTAAAGATTCCACTTTTCTTGTTTTTGCATATACAGGGTGTTTCCTTAACTTTTACACTAATTTTTTCGAACACTTCTCTTAATCCGGCCAAAAAATGTTTCCAAGGAAAGTTAATTAGTTTCCTGTTAGCTACATGATAAAGTACCGAATTTTAAAAAATTGTCATTTTTCCAATAAAAAATCGAGGTCACCTCGATTTTCTTTAATGGCATTGCGTATTCTTTACTTCGTATTATTGTAGTTCGTGTCAAGATAAATTCAACGACCTGCTATATTATGACCTTTGGATGACCTTGAACTGAGAAATCTAAATGCAATATATGTGTGCAAAAGTTAAGGAAACACCATGCATACAATATATGTGTTAGTCTGTTCTATTTAAACGATTTTTTTGATCGATTTCTACAGAGAAATTTTGGGGGATCTTCTGGACATGTCGCTATTAAAGAACTTATGTTTTTTAAATATGTGTTTTGGTATTAGTTTTGTGTTGTCGAGCGACTTCACGTTTTCTTGCCTGGTGCCGCTAATGATGGCGAAATCCGGTTATAATAAGGCACAGGCGGCTCTTGCAATTACTATCAGCGCATCTGCGGAATTAGCGTCGAAAATTCTGCTCGCGATTTTCACTCTGCTGGTGAATGTCAAGTCGAAATACATATTCTTCATTGCTATGATTATCATGGCGTTCGCAAAGTTTGGTTAGTAGAACAATATGTTGCACAGATCATATGATAGAACGAAGTTCTGAACGTAATTACATTGATTACAATAATTATATCGATTAAGTATGAAGTCGTCAATTCGAGGTCATCTTTATATTTATAAAGAGAGAGAGAGAAACTTATAAATTATAAAGATAATATAACTTTCTTTATTTACTCCAGTTTATGCAAACTGTATTCTCATCAATTGCTATAAATAAATAAAAATGACTTGAACTTCGTTCTTATATGCTCAGAGTCGACTTAAACAAGCTATAATATTCACAGATCGATTTCTTTTTCAGGTTACTTATTTTATAGCAGCTCCTTATCCGGCACGTATATCATGATAGCAGTGATAGGAGTAGTTAGATCATGGTTGTTAGTTCCTCAAGCATTGGTTGTCATAGAAGATATCAGTGTTGATAAATTCGCGTCCGCGTATGGAATCTGCGGTGCCATTAGTGGCATCATCAATATTCTATTTGGTCCAATTGTTGGTGAGTGAATGGAAATAATATTATATTATTATACCTTGTATGATGTTTAAAAAACAAGTAGAAAATTATTCGCTTAGTAAAACAAATTTTACTGACGAAATTGCAGAACGTGTTGATAGTTAGACTTATATTAGACAATTAAATATGAAATTCATAGATTTTATAGCAAAATCATACAATAAAGTATGCATTTCATACTTAATGACTTAATATTTCTGTAAAAAAAAGGAGTTCATACACGAACTTATCTTTTCATAAGAAAAAGATGTTCATTCACAAGTTCTTTATATGTTCGTATGCATATGTTTGTACAAATATATTTTATACATTTATAACAAAAATTAATTAATCAAATATAAAATAGTAAAAACATTTAAAAGTTTTAAATGAACTTTGACATTATTTTAAATTCATTCAAGTGATTAAAAAGCAGAATAAATATTTATGTAGTTCTTGTATCTTACAATTAAAGNACAACAATTACATAATCAAATATAAAATAGTAAAAACATTTAAAAGTTTTAAATGAACTTTGACATTATTTTAAATTCATTCAAGTGATTAAAAAGCAGAATAAATATTTATGTAGTTCTTGTATCTTACAATTAAAG